ATTAGTGTGCAATCCATTAATTTTCATAATTACTAAGTAAAAATTTAATTATCATAATCTTAATAAATTTCTAGAATTCCGAAATTTTGCCTATTAACCTGAATAAGATTTACAGATAGAAAATGCGTAAATTTCTGTTCAAAATGCTCAAAAATCTGTGTATTTATTAAAATACCGCTTGATAAAATGATTATAAAAATCAACTATCTACTGCTTATGTTAATAATAACCGATCAAAGAATAACCATACGTAAACGAAACGTAAAAAATTATGGAAATCCTACCTTCATTCAACTGCGTTTTGAGGAGTTTTGTTATTAGATATTACTCAAGGCACTCGACGATTTTGGAACCTGAAAAAAGGGATAACAATTTTTAAAATGACATGTATATATATTCTTATTATTTAAATTGAAAGAATAACGATCGAAAATTGGCTGACCGCGGTCTAGGTCCGGATCGTAAAAACATGGTACGTAAATTTCAATTTTCACATATTAACACGTATAACACTTTGAGGCCTCTGATTGGAACGGACCAAAAACTTAACAGTTAATTATCAGTTTACAAATACGAAAATGTTAAGGTTAATATTTAATTTTAAATATTAAAATTAAATTAATTTCCTATCTTCTACATATTACTTCAAATAAACGGGATAAAATTGTGTCTGTTATCATACCCTCGCCGGGAATCGAACCCGGGTCCCCTAAACACTAACCTCTTCAATATATACATAAATGTTCTTGAATAGGTTAGTATTTAATATTAAACATTAAACGGAAATTAACTTTCTATCCTCTACATATTACCCCATATTAAGGGGGAAAAATTGTGGTATAGTACTGGTGCGTAAAACCAGGTGACCCGGGTTCGATTCTCGGCGAGGGTATGACAGCAGAGACAATTTTTTTCCATTGATTTAAGATAATATGTAAAAGATAGAAAGTTAATTTGAGTTTAATATTAAATATTAACCATATCATTTTCGTATAAGTATATTGATAATTAACTATAAATTTTTTGAACCACTCCAATCTCAGGCCTCGAAGTGTTATGACATAGTATGTGAAAATTATTAATTTTTAATTAATTATTGAAATTGATAATTATATACAATTGGTTTCGACGATACTTGTGATATCTTTGATGTACTAGCCGTTGTTGTAGCTGCTATCACCTCTCATATTAGCGTAGTTTACAGTACTGGTTTGTAAAAACAAGCAACCCGGGTTCGATTCCCGGCGAGAGCAACAATTTTTCCCTATTAATTTGTGATAATATATACAGGATAGAAAGTCAATTTTAATGTAATGTTTTATATTAACAGTTAATGGCATTTTTACAATTAGATTAGCATAAAATGGCATATGAGATGAGCATCAATTTATAATTCAAGAAAAGTAAACTATAAATTCGTGATGGATTTTAATGTAGCGTAAGCCGTGTTAGTTCTGTAAACTGGTGATTAACGAAAATATAACTCGATTACGGTTCCGCTGGTTCAATTAGACAAATCTAATTATTACACATTTACTATAGAAATTATTTTAGTTCCCTCTTTAGCAGCATTACTTTTAAAGCGGGCAAACATCGTTTGTTTAATTAAAGTTTTGAAATTTTCCCTACCACAGAAGTGTTCGCTAAAATTGAGCATCCGAGCAGAAAATTAAAGAGAAAAGTGAAGCATTATAATTTAACGGGAAGAAGTAAGTGGATTAAAAATCTTCTTTTGATATCCGGGATTTATGAAAGGAGTATCTAGTATATTCTTTAATACGGGAAAATTTCAAATCATATGGGAAATTAAAATCTAATATTAACTCATGATATCATGCAGCACTTAGTTTGAACTTTTTTACAGTTTAAATAGAGAACTTTCAGAACACAAGATCGAATTCATCTTTTGAAAATGAAAAGACATGATACTTTTATTTATCATCATAAGGACGTCCGTCTTAAGACTGGTTGGACACGCACCTCCACTCTTTCCTATCCTAAGCTAATCTTCGCAATTTCCCTAAAACTAGAACAACCCACATCCTTAACTATTTGCGAACAGTAATCTAAGCTAGGTCTACCCCTGTCCTAGTCCTAAATACCTGAGAAGGTGTCCTTCCAAGCTATCTTGCCTATTTCTCATTGACATCAATAATGACGTCTGTTCTGTATAGGGTTTATACAAAAACCGACATTTTAGAAAACCGGTTTTCGAATAATAATTTTTCCATCAAACCGGTTTTAACCGGTTTCGAATTTTTATAAAAAAATTTTTTGATCGAATATTCTGTAATTCGAACAAAAAATTTTAACAGAAAATTTAGAGTGATTAAAAGTAGTTTTTGACTGAAATTATTTACTGAACACTGAATTTATGAACTGTACATAAAGAAACCAGAAGACAAACTGATATAAAATCTAAATTAATTCATCCAATAGACAAAACACACCAAACCCCTTGCGACCGATATGATTCCAAGAACCAAACCGCTTGCAACAGTGTTTTCATCAATATGGTACATTTGGCTACATTTGTCATTTTCAATTTTTTTTTAAGTGTTATTCATACATTAAAAACCGATATTTTCTACTAAAAAACCGGTTTTCGAATTTCATAATTTTCTCCAAAAAACCGGTTTTTAAAAACCGACAAACCCTAGTGTCTCCGACTTTCAAAAACCGTACATGTTCTACTTTTTCCAGTACCTAATTCCTAATTTCAAACCTTATCTATCCATAGTATTTTCATAATCCATCCCTAACGGCACACTCAAAACGCAATTTTAGCAATAAGAGCACTATATTTGGAACCTCACCTAATCCATGATAATCTAACCTAACTCCGACATAATCTGGCTCATCTAAACTAACATAACATAAACAAACGAAAGCTATGCTAGTTGACACTCCAAATGCAGCACTTGTTACCAAAATACTTCAAAAATAGACTTCTTTCCCACACCCGAAATGTATTACCATTCGAAAAGTCTTTATCTAAACTTTTTAAATAGAGACTACTCGACCCCTAACTTAATGAGCTTCTTTTGGGAAATTAATCAAGCAACTTTAACAGTGAATGTGATTTTTACATTTTATAGCTCCCGGTCCTCAATATGAACTGAGGCCCGTAGTTGGTTATAATAAGCATTGCTTATCAAAACTACGAAACCCTCAGTTTTCGTTCGGACTAAAACTCGGTGGTTGTGGGGCGTCGACGGGACCAGGACCGAAATATTCGTTAGGAAGATATACCAGATATGGAAAGGCTACCCCACCTGCTTTCTCTATTTACTCAAGACCAAAGGGCTGCCGTAAGTGATAAAAAAAATATTCTGTTTCCCAATTATTAAAACCAGCATCTGAGGGGCTCCCCGATCAAAATCAAAACTAAGTACATATACTTTTAAAATAGGAATTATAATTATAAAAATTTTGATAAACCACCAGGAAACACGTAAAAAAGTTAACCCAAAAATGAAATTGATACAATCTTTTTATTGGTATTTTAGGTGGTTTTCAGACACCCGGGCCACCGACATACAAGGCTGAATTAGTGCCGCGAATGAAAGAACCCAGGCCGCCTGCATATAGCATAAGGTCAAGACAAAAAGGTTTTACGCCATTTAACACCCCAGGTCCAAATCAATACGATCTACCTACAACCATCGGACCAAAAATACCAGATCTGGTTGCTAAACCAGCCTATTCCTTGTATGTATCAATATTTTTAGATGAATTGTCCCTATAGAGCACAACATAGGCATTTCAATGTGTCGACGTTAACTTGACAATGATTTAATTTCTCGCACATTTCAGTCCTATTGTTCAAATTTTCGAGATATCTTTGTCAACGTGCAAAGAATATGTGTTCATATTTTTGACGTGACAACGTCTTATAATTCGATGGAGCCGGCTGCACGCACGAAAAAAACATGACTCATGCGGCGTTACCTCGCTCTGAGGCGTTCCATTTAAGGCTTGAAGTGCAAGCGAGAGCGCGGAACGAGCGACAAAGAGGCACAATGGGCCTCCGCGTTCGGCAGCGTTCGACATCTGTCTCTCTCCTACTTGAGTGAGCGATGCGTCCGCGTGGACAGCTGCTATACAATAATACATTTCCATTTACCTCCTTCTCTATATCCATACAAAATATCTATCAAACAAATAAAATTAAAATTTTCTTTTGAAAAATGAAACCATTCCATCAGTATTTTCTTATGACGTTGTCACGTTCAACTATCGTCAGTAAGCCGACTTTACAGACAACCGATTTTTTAATTAAATTCTCTCGATCACATTCGTTTGAAAAATACATGTATGACCAATTGTACCTCAGAATTCATCTAATGCTTATAAAGATAAATGTAATGTGGACTTGAGAGGGGGCAGGCCTTCTTGTCTTGAGATGAGGGGGCACTAAATTTCGAGAATTTCTTTTTAATGGAATTGCAAACAAAGTCAAAATACGTTCAACAAGTAACATAGGCAATTTGGATTTTAATGTTGGAGGCCCCATAAGCACGTTGCAAAGGATAATTAAATATTTTATGTCTACTTACACTATTGACATTTTGTCTTTTTTTTTTAATCTTAGTGATAAGAGCTCGTTCATTGCGACATTACAACCAGGCCATTCGATCAAAATATACATTCGGCCGCTTTCCACAAATCGAATACCCCGGAAAGAGAGAGGGGAGCTTTTACAACCTAACCTAAATTAATATTCCTCAAAATAGAAAAAAATTATATCTGCTATCTGAATGAGTTTCATCATCACAAGGTCGTCAGTCAGAAAAAGAGTTGAACATTAGGTCCACTCCTTCCTTAGCATTTCTCGAAAATTAGATCACCCCACATCCCTAACAATTTGTGATCAGTAATCCAATCCAGGACTTCCTCTGCCCCACTTTAATTATGTTTGACTTCTAATATAATATCTATAAATAGTCCCAGAAGGTGTCCTATCAATCTAGTTCTTTTTCCAGTACGTAATTCCTAATTTCTAACCTTATATATATTCACAGTATTTTCATAATCCATCATTAACTTTTTTAACTCAACCGCAACAAACGTCCTAGTTTCGAACTCGTACAGAGCCGTGCTACAAACATATCTACACTTTTAATAACCTTTTCTTTCGAGTTTACAATTTAACCCTTCGCGAGCAAAGAAATGGTTTCTGCTTCTAACTTAAATAGTGTGATATTTTTTTTATTGGTCTGTTGTGAATTTATTCAGTGAGAATAAAAAGATTTTGACTACAATTTATGTAAATCCTGTAAATTACAGTTTTAAGTACATTTTTTCTATAGAAATCTTTTTTTTCTATATCACCTGGTAATGTTCCAACAAAAATAAAAAAATATTTATCTTTGATCATAAAGTTTCATAGAGACGCGTTTGCTGTGCTCATACACAATTATTTGATTAAAGTAAGAAATGTTAGGTGTCACGTAGGCCTAAGTATTTCCTTTCCTTGTGGTGCTTTTTAATGTAAATTTTTTTAGAGCCGGGAGGCAAAAGGCGTGTGGCGCAGAAGGATCACCAGGACCTGCTAAATATCCTGCAGTCAATTTGAATGTGACTAAAACAAAATTGCCACAATATGGATTACGCTTGAAACCACCGCTAGCGGGTAAACCTATAGGACCGGGACCTGCAGCTTACATGATCAAATCTAAGTTCCAAGGAGGTTTCTCGTTGCGTTCTAGAGTCTGTGCAATTCCTTATATAACAGCAGAAGATAATATGCCATGTGTCAACGATTAAATATAAATTAAATGGAAATTGACGGGCTTTGCTAATAGGATAGATGGGGTTAACTTTGTTAAATATCTGTCTTATCCGGGTTAATATAAGTACAAAATTGAGAGTGGTTTTTTTTGCTGCGTTTCCTTCAGTACCTATTGTTAAGGATTTTTAAAAACAGAAGTAGTAAAGTTGTATGTTTAGGCAGGTACATTAAAAAGAAATGTTTTTTTTAATCTATAACGGATGCTTTTTAATTATTCTAAAATTGCACCCGTTACATAAAAGGAATAAGGAAACCATAATTTTAAGAAAAGCAAAATAGGGAAAATTTAAACTTGGACGTCACTTTGGAAAAAATTGGAATAGCAAATACGTTAAAGCAAAAATAAATCAAAAATTATCACAAGTAATTTATAAAAACTCCAAACAACTAAAAAATATATTTCTTCCATCCTTAAAGCGGTATGTCTAAAATTAAAATCAATATCATTTACCTGCCAAAGTTTACAACCCTATGGAATTGTAACAAATAAAATCATCTGATATACAAAAAAAGGCTTTCTTAAAAACTTGCACATTTTTATACAAATTAGATCGCGTAATAGAGAAATAGCCCAATTTAAAATATACCTACCCAAAAGCTTTTACAACAAAATATCATTTATTTTCTTCCATTTGGCGTCCAATTTGATATTTAATATCACTTTGTTTGTTTTCTTTTTAATAACGAAGTCTACTAATAAGCGTAGAAGAAAAATTATGTATTTATTTAGTAAAGTAGATGAGTGGTGCTATCTATTGTCCAACAGAAAAAGTAAATTCACAACCGGTGTTAGATTAACAGAAAATATTCACTCAAAACTGTGTTTACTAACTATTTACCTGTTTGGGTTTTGTGTCAGTTTACGATATTATCCAATATTATACGATCGAAGACAGGTACATGAATATTGTGACATAATATATTAAAAAACAAGTTGTGTGACCGCAGCTGCAATAACGTACAATTAATTTGACTGGGTAAGAAAATAATGATGATGGTAATGATGATTTATCAAATTACGTTTTTATGTTAGATATGAATTTTTCCAAAGTACCAATTAGGCTAATTAGCCGAACTAGTTTTCTGCAAAACCCGTCAATAAAATTCCGGTATGGGACCGATAGAGAAGCCCAAGAAAATGTTGCACGCCCTCCACCCTCTTCAGCTGGCTTGAGTGGAAAATCAAAAACTACACATAGTACAGCAGAACCGATTTGGGACTTCCAGCTTCCGGAAAGACTTCGACGAAAACCCCTCAGCGCCGAGGAAATCGAATACATTAACACTGGTGGACCACCCCAATAATATACAACGCTTATTTAGAATTGTTAGTTCAGACATTATTTAAACAAGACTGTTGTCATCCAATTACAGTTGATTGTTGTTTCCATTTTGCATTGCATATTATATAATAATAATAAACATTCATTAGTAAATATTTTTAATCTTTGTGTTTATTGTTTATTTTATAAAGACACTTATGCTGACTCTTTTTTCACTGTCGATTCCCAACATAGTCAACCAAATATACACTTTTGCAAGTGGAAAACGAAATTCGAATGCACGTAGTATCAAAAAAAAAAAACGAATATACAGGGCGTTCAAATGAATCACGTAAATTATAATTATTTTTCAATGCAGGTAAGAAATAAATCTTAAAGAATCATACAAAATGGTTCTACGATGGGATAATTCACCCATATATTTTGCTTACAGCTAAAAAAAAGTATTAAAATAGAACTTTCAATTTAAAGAAATTAGAAACTGATTATGAAAATAATACTATTTTACAGGGTGTTTATTAAACACAGAGCAAAACTTGAGAAAATTATTTCCTAGGTTACTGTAAGGGTATTTAATGCCTTGATGATTTTTGGAAAATGGGCTTGTTTCCAAGATACAGGGTGATAAATGTTTTCCGACAATAACACTGTTTTGTTTTATTATCCAGAAAGATGCATGTAAAGCTTCTAAATCTTTAGGTAATAAAAGAACTGCTATATATGACTAACACTAGCATCTTCTCCTCATTGAACAGTGCCATAATCATGGGAGGGTTGGAAATCACCCGACTAGGAATTTTTTTTAATTATACTTCTTAAGTAGTTATCGAGTGTAATTCGGTTCGATCCTTTTGGATATTCCGATCAGACAATTCCACTTTTTTAAAGATAATGTGGATTTTCATATTTTTCGTTACCTTACCTCTCCCTTGAGAAATCTTGATCACGCCACTGTCATTGACTTTTTGAAAAACAGCGGAATTGTTTCTAACTGAACTATTTGAGCGATTTAAACATGTTGCTGTTAAAAATTCATAAAACCGGACTTTGAACATCTTTTCGGTTACATTAATAATTTTAAATTGTGTCTTGTCGTAAACAATGTACCATCTTGTTGGCTTTCCAAAAACAATCAAACAACAAAATATTGTTTCAATAACTCTTGAAGTTTTGCCGTTTGTTTAATAAGCACCCTGTATACAGAAGGTAATACTTACACTAATTTGTAAAATTCTGCAACACACATGGAAGGCTGCGACGCAGCATGTCCGTGTCACCTTGTGTATATTTTGAAATTATTCCGTCAATATTGACGTGACGTAAAAGGTAAAGAATTTAAGGTATTGAAAATGGAAGGTACTCTAAATTATTCTACGTCTGATTTGGACCATACGCCTGTGAAAAGTAGAAACGACGATAATTTCGAAGATGCAAAGAGCGAAATTGAAATCATTACCGAAGACTTCAATCTTGCCATGGCCGAAAGTACAATCAAAATCTCTTCGCAGATAAGCATAACCGACGTGTACGAAAAAAATATTTATTTAGAAAACAGCTATAAAGACGCCATGAGAAAGTGCGAGGTACTTCAAAACGAGATAGACGTCATGAACGCCACCGTTAATAGAGAAAGACAAAGAGCTCACAGTTACAAAAAGAAACTCCAGTACATCCAGGAAAACCAAGATATCCTAAAGAGTTTGAAAGAAACTTATATTTCCTATAAAGGTTCCAAATGTAACGAAGGTGAGAAAATACCTAAAGACGCAGTAACTCAAACACACCATCAAAATCAGCATGAAATAAATAGAGAGCCATCTGAGTCAAACCCATGTATTGTAATGAGCGTTACTGAATTAGATGATATCAAAAATACGTTTCAAAATTTAAGGACGTTAGTGGAGTCCCGGGAAGAATCGAGGACTCTAATGCTAGAACAACAAGCCGCTGCCATATTGGAAATAACCGCACTAAAGGAAGAAATAAGATTCCTTAAACTAATGTTGCAATTAAAAGAAACATCCGAAACCTCAAAAACAAATATGGCGTCACAGAATACAAAAGATACAGGTGTACTTAGAAAAATAATCATAAAATTGCACAAAATATTAAAAGATGCCCAGTATAAATCGGAAGCGGTTAATCCTTTGACAGATTTTGAAAAGACTATTATGAATCTTTTAGTAATAAATACTGATACCAAAAATGCTTTAAGAAGAACTAAAAGGAGTTCTTCGCTGGATGAAATACATCGGCAGCACGAATCTGTTGTCAAGTGTCTTCCTGTTCGACACAAGAAAACAATTTTTTATGAAAGAAAACGCATTCCAAAAGTAACTGAAAGAAGATCTCATATTTGGAAC